TAGAGCTAACATGAAGGACGCTGTCTTGACCAGCCTCGCCACCTACCAGCTGGGAATGTTTGTAGAGCTAACATGAAGGACGCTGTCTTGACCAGCCTCGCCACCTGACCTGTTTGTTTATATTAAAACCGATCCTCCGGGTTGTGTAGTAGAGACTGCTTGAGTTATATCCAGTTTACGTAACGCTACGACTGGTCTGGAAGCGCCATAGCGCCAGGCGGCCTTCTTAGGAAGATCGCCGCTCTTAAATGACTTCGTGAATCCCGACGGATCCGCCACGAAGATGGTAAGTAAGAAGGAAACGTTGCTAAGTACTTGTGTAACTGCTTCGTGAATCTGGCCCCAGGTCACTCATTGTGTAAGTTAATACTGGCACATGAACAGTGTCCACAATATGTAGGCTTCTGGCAGCTGGGTTGACGTACATATGTGACGACCACCACGTTATCTTGAGGCTTTCTTGAGATGATTTCGGGGCTTAGTGTCCCCGCGGCCCGGTCCTCGGCCGGGCCTACTTTTTGTTATACATCCCCAGGAAGCAGCCCGTAGCAGCTGTCTAAATCCCAGGTACCTATTTACTGCTTGGTGAACAAGACATCAGGGTGAAAAAGTCTGCCCATTTGTTTCCGGATCCATCATGGATAGAACCCGGAACCTCAGGACTACGAATCCCGAGCGCTGTGTACTCAGCCGTCAGGCCCCTTTAGGTCATGTAGTTGCTAGGCGGGAGTTTCGCTCTTATTAGCAACGATAATATCTTGGCTTAAAAGGATGTCTAGCCTCAGGCGGGAGCAGGACTGGTTTGTGTGGTGGTGGTGGTGGTGGTGGTGGTGTTCGTGGTGGTGGTGGTGTTGTTGTTGTTGTTGTTCGTGGTGGTGGTGGTGGTGGCTTCCACAACTACTACCATCACACACTGCACCTGTTGACCACCGGTACAGAGTGCGGGTACTCCCTTACATGCCTTCTGTACATTGGAGTGTGGTGCAGCTCCAGCCTCTGGTCCTGCTCTGGTCCTCCTCTGGTCCTCCTCTGGTCCTCCTCTGGCCCTCCTCTGGTCCTGCTCTGGTCCTGCTCTGGTCCTGCTCTTTTCCTCCTCTGGTCCTGCTCTGGTCCTCCTCTGGTCCTGCTCTGGTCCTCCTCTGGTCCTGCTCTGGTCCTCCTCTGGTCCTGCTCTCTCAAGTCTAACAACCATTTGTTTGTCCATTATTAGCGGTTGTCGCGGCCAGTCCTCTTGGGTTTATATTCATCATTATCTTCGTGTCGTCGTGTGCAAGACTGAGATGTTCACTTCCTGGTCGTTCACATTCATTAAGGGACCCAGGAACGACCCTTGGGAACTCCACTCTCTACGTTCCTCCTCCTTGAAGCCTCTAACTGTGGCTGTTCTCTGGTCTTCAACTCGATCAAGTTTATCAGGCGTGACTTTCCCTTCGAAGGTTCACTCTGGCCATTTGATACAAAGGTTATCCTCTCCGGCCGTTCCCTTATTCTCAACTTGATTACTTTTTCCAGCAGAATAGTTGTCAGTAAGGCTGTCAGTAAGACTGCTTAGTAAGACTGTCAGTAAGGCTGTCAGTAAGACTGCTTAGTAAGACTGCTTAGTAAGGCTGTCAGTAAGACTGCTTAGTAAGACTGTCAGTAAGACTGCTTAGTAAGACTGTCAGTAAGACTGCTTAGTAAGGCTGTGAGTAAGACTGTCAGTAAGACTGCTTAGTAAGACTGTCAGTAAGACTGCTTAGTAAGACTGTGAGTAAGACTGCTTAGTAAGGCTGTCAGTAAGACTGCTTAGTAAGACTGTCAGTAAGACTGTCAGTAAGGCTGTCAGTAAGACTGCTTAGTAAGACTGTCAGTAAGACTGCTTAGTAAGACTGTCAGTAAGACTGCTTAGTAAGACTGTCAGTAAGGCTGTCAGTAAGACTGCTTAGTAAGACTGTGAGTAAGGCTGTCAGTAAGACTGCTTAGTAAGACTGCTTAGTAAGACTGTCAGTAAGGCTGTCAGTAAGACTGCTTAGTAAGACTGTGAGTAAGGCTGTCAGTAAGACTGCTTAGTAAGACTGCTTAGTAAGACTGTCAGTAAGGCTGTCAGTAAGACTGCTTAGTAAGACTGTGAGTAAGGCTGTCAGTAACACTGCTTAGTAAGACTGCTTAGTAAGACTGTCAGTAAGGCTGTCAGTAAGACTGTCAGTAAGACTGCTTAGTAAGACTGTCAGTAAGACTGTCAGTAAGACTGGTCTGTAGTTCAGTGCCTCATGTCTGTCATCTTTTTTCAAATACTTGGACTATGCTTTTTTTCAAAATTTTGGGAGTTACCGGTGTCAAATGTTTTATTGAAGACTTCAGTTATTAGGCGATAAAGAACTTGCTTGATACCTGGTTGATGGGGTTCTGGGAGTTCTTCCACTCCCCCAAGCCCGGCCCGAGGCCAGGCTTGACTTGTGAGAGTTTGGTCCACCAGGCTGTTGCTTGGAGCGGCCCGCAGGCCCACATATACCTGGTTGATGGGGTTCTGGGAGTTCTTCTACTGCCCAAGCCCGGCCCGAGGCCAGGCTTGACTTGTGAGAGTTTGGTCCACCAGGCTGTTGCTTGGAGCGGCCCGCAGGCCCACATATACCTGGTTGATGGGGTTCTGGGAGTTCTTCTACTCCTCAAGCCCGGCCCGAGGCCAGGCTTGACTTGTGAGAGTTTGGTCCACCAGGCTGTTGCTTGGAGCGGCCCGCAGGCCCACATATACCTGGTTGATGGGGTTCTGGGAGTTCTTCTACTGCCCAAGCCCGGCCCGAGGCCAGGCTTGACTTGTGAGAGTTTGGTCCACCAGGCTGTTGCTTGGAGCGGCCCGCAGGCCCACATATACCTGGTTGATGGGGTTCTGGGAGTTCTTCTACTCCTCAAGCCCGGCCCGAGGCCAGGCTTGACTTGTGAGAGTTTGGTCCACCAGGCTGTTGCTTGGAGCGGCCCGCAGGCCCACATATACCTGGTTGATGGGGTTCTGGGAGTTCTTCTACTCCCCAAGCCCGGCCCGAGGCCAGGCTTGACTTGTGAGAGTTTGGTCCACCAGGCTGTTGCTTGGAGCGGCCCGCAGGCCCACATATACCTGGTTGATGGGGTTCTGGGAGTTCTTCTACTCCCCAAGCCCGGCCCGAGGCCAGGCTTGACTTGTGAGAGTTTGGTCCACCAGGCTGTTGCTTGGAGCGGCCCGCAGGCCCACATATACCTGGTTGATGGGGTTCTGGGAGTTCTTCTACTCCCCAAGCCCGGCCCGAGGCCAGGCTTGACTTGTGAGAGTTTGGTCCACCAGGCTGTTGCTTGGAGCGGCCCGCAGGCCCACATATACCTGGTTGATGGGGTTCTGGGAGTTCTTCTACTCCCCAAGCCCGGCCCGAGGCCAGGCTTGACTTGTGAGAGTTTGGTCCACCAGGCTGTTGCTTGGAGCGGCCGCAGGCCCACATATACCTGGTTGATGGGGTTCTGGGAGTTCTTCTACTCCCCAAGCCCGGCCCGAGGCCAGGCTTGACTTGTGAGAGTTTGGTCCACCAGGCTGTTGCTTGGAGCGGCCCGCAGGCCCACATATACCTGGTTGATGGGGTTCTGGGAGTTCTTCTACTCCCCAAGCCCGGCCCGAGGCCAGGCTTGACTTGTGAGAGTTTGGTCCACCAGGCTGTTGCTTGGAGCGGCCCGCAGGCCCACATATACCTGGTTGATGGGGTTCTGGGAGTTCTTCTACTCCCCAAGCCCGGCCCGAGGCCAGGCTTGACTTGTGAGAGTTTGGTCCACCAGGCTGTTGCTTGGAGCGGCCCGCAGGCCCACATATACCTGGTTGATGGGGTTCTGGGAGTTCTTCTACTCCCCAAGCCCGGCCCGAGGCCAGGCTTGACTTGTGAGAGTTTGGTCCACCAGGCTGTTGCTTGGAGCGGCCCGCAGGCCCACATATACCTGGTTGATGGGGTTCTGGGAGTTCTTCTACTCCCCAAGCCCGGCCCGAGGCCAGGCTTGACTTGTGAGAGTTTGGTCCACCAGGCTGTTGCTTGGAGCGGCCCGCAGGCCCACATATACCTGGTTGATGGGGTTCTGGGAGTTCTTCTACTCCCCAAGCCCGGCCCGAGGCCAGGCTTGACTTGTGAGAGTTTGGTCCACCAGGCTGTTGCTTGGAGCGGCCCGCAGGCCCACATACCCACCACAGCCCGGTTGGTCCGGCACTCCTTGGAGGAAACAATCTAGTTTCCTCTTGAAGATGTCCACGGTTGTTCCGGCAATATTTTTTATACTCGCTGGGAGGGTGTTGAACAACCGCGGACCTCTGATGTTTAACCTCTACAGCTTCCTTCAACAGCCAAAGTGGTAGTGGTGGTGGTGGCAGGGTGGTGGTGGTGGCAGGGTGGTGGTGGTGGCAGGGTGGTGGTGGTGGCAGGGTGCTGGTGGTGGTGGTGGCAGGGTGCTGGTGGTGGCAGGGTGCTGGTGGTGGCAGGGTGCTGGTGGTGGTGGTGGCAGGGTGCTGGTGGTGGTGGCAGCAGGGTGCTGGTGGTTGTGGCAGGGTGGTGGTGGTGGCAGGGTGCTGGTGGTGGTGGCAGCAGGGTGCTGGATGTGGTGGCAGCAGGGTGCTGGTTGTGGTGGCAGCAGGGTGCTGGATGTGGTGGCAGCAGGGTGCTGGATGTGGTGGCAGCAGGGTGCTGGATGTGGTGGCAGCAGGGTGCTGGTGGTGGTGGCAGCAGGGTGCTGGTGGTGGTGGCAGGGTGGTGGTGGCAGCAGGGTGCTGATGGTGGTGGTGGCAGGGAGCTGGTGGTGGTGGCAGCAGGGTGGTGGTGGTGGCAGCAGGGTGGTGGTGGTGGCAGCAGGGTGGTGGTGGTGGCAGCAGGGTGGTGGTGGTGGTGGCAGCAGGGTGGTGGTGGTGGCAGCAGGGTGGTGGTGGCAGCAGGGTTGTGATGGTGGCAGCAGGGTGGTGGCAGTAGGGTGGGGCCCACCAAGGACCCGAGCGGCAGGTAAGGGCAGACACAGGCAGCCACTCCTCTTCCACCCCCAGCTGGCGAGTGACCTACCACACACTACCTCCATCTCCACTACCCGCGCACACACCTGAACCACTCCTCTCGCACCGCACACACACCTGTAGCCCCACACACACACCTGTAGCTCGCCGAGATGGAGGACCCCTGCACTAAGTGTCCCTCAGACGTGGAGATGAAGCCAGCCAAACTCAGTGAGAAGGTAAGTGTACCAGTGGCAGCCATCTCTCCTCTCCTCCTCTCCTCTAGAAAATCTAGTCCAAGTGCAGTGAAAAGCTCTGTACCTCAGGGTACAGTCCTTGCACCGCTGCTTTTCCTTATCCTTATATCAGATATAGACAAAAATACAAGTCGCAGCTTCATATCATCCTTTGCAGATGACAAAAAAATCAGTATGAAAATTATCTCGGCTGAAGACATTGAAAAACTTCAAGCTGATATTAATAAAGTTTTCGACTGGGCATCAGAAAATAACATGATGTTTAACAGTGATAAATTTCAGGTATTCAGGTACGGTAAAAATGAGGACCTTAAACCTAATACAGGGTATAAAACACAATCAAATGTACCCATAGTAGGAAAACAGCATGTAAAGGATTTGGGAATAATAATGTCTGACGACCTAACGTTTAGGGAGCATAACCAAGCAAATATTGCGTCAGCCAGAAAAATGATAGGATGGATTACGAGAACTTTCAAATCCAGGAATCCCATCACAATGGTTGTACTCTTCAAGTCACTTGTGTTGTCCCGTCTTGAGTACTGTTCAGTACTCACTTCCACCTTCAGAGCAGGAGAGATTGCTGAAATAGAGGGAATACAGAGAACATATACGGCACGCATAGACACAATAAAGCACCTAAATTATTGGGATCGTCTCAAAGTTCTCCAAATGTACTCACTAGAAAGAAGACGAGAGATATCAAATAATATACACCTGGAAGATACTGGAGGACCAAGTACTAAATCTACACAGTAAAATAACAACGTATTGGAGTGAACGATATGGAAGAAAATGCAGAATAGAACCAGTGAAGAGCAGAGGTGCCATAGGCACAATCAGAGAACACTGTATAAACATCAGAGGTCCGCGGTTGTTCAACGTCCTCCCAGCGAGCATAAGAAATATTGCCGGAACAACCGTGGACATCTTCAAGAGGAAACTAGATTTATTCCTCCAAGGAGTGCCGGACCAACCGGGCTGTGGTGGGTATGTGGGCCTGCGGGCCGCTCCAAGCAACAGCCTGGTGGACCAAACTCTCACAAATCAAGCCTGGCCTCGGGCCGGGCTGGGGGAGTAGAAGAACTCCCAGAACCCCATCAACCAGGTAACCAGGTATCTCCTTCCTCGCTGCTCTCTCTCTCTCCACACACCTGCTAGCTGCCCACACCTGCCCCTGCCTCTATTGCAGCTGACACGTGACACCACATGTGTCTTGAGGACACATAGGCACGTCACGTGACAATTCGAACAACCAGGACCACAGGGAACAGTTTTTTACGCAAACGTAAACAAATATACGTACACCTCTCGTTCATCAGTGACCGGAACTTTTGTTATTGTTGGGGCATTGATTCAAGCACCTGTGCCCCGGGGTACTGTCCTGGCACCTTGGGTGTGTACTGGCACCTGTAGTGTGCCCCGGGGTACTGTCCTGGCACCTTGGGTGTGTACTGGCACCTGTAGTGTGCCCCGGGGTACTGTCCTGGCACCTTGGGTGTGTACTGGCACCAGTAGTGTGCCCCGGGGTACTGTCCTGGCACCTTGGGTGTGTACTGGCACCAGTAGTGTGCCCCGGGGTACTGTCCTGGCACCTTGGGTGTGTACTGGCACCAGTAGTGTGCCCCGGGTACTGTCCTGGCACCTTGGGTGTGTACTGGCACCAGTAGTGTGCCCCGGGGTACTGTCCTGGCACCTTGGGTGTGTACTGGCACCAGTAGTGTGCCCCGGGGTACTGTCCTGTCACCTTGGGTGTGTACTGGCACCAGTAGTGTGCCCCGGGTACTGTCCTGGCACCTTGGGTGTGTACTGGCACCAGTAGTGTGCCCCGGGGTACTGTTTTGTGCCCCCGGAATATCAATACTAATGTTTAGAAGCACTAGGGACATCAATACTAATGTTTAGAAGCACTAGGAACATCAATAATAATGTTTAGAAGCACTAGGGACATCAATAATAATGTTTAGAAGCACTAAGAACATCAATAACAATGTTTAGAAGCACTAGGGACATCAATACTAATGTTTAGAAGCACTAGGGACATCAATACTAATGTTTAGAAGCACTAGGGACATCAATACTAATGTTTAGAAGCACTAGGGACATCAATACTAATGTTTAGAAGCACTAGGGACATCAATACTAATGTTTAGAAGCACTAGGGACATCAATACTAATGTTTAGAAGCACTATGGACATCAATAATAATGTTTAGAAGCACTAGGGACATCAAAGGCAACTTTAAACTGCAATTTTGAGCCCTGAGTATACTCCTGGACTTAGTTCCCAAGTCCATATACACTGAGAAATGGAATAGAGTCCTCCAGGTATTCATTATTGTTCAGGGCTTTAACCTTGCTGGAATGTATATCCCTGGGCGCGGAGGGGCGCCTGGATCTTTAGTCTCTCCTGTGTCTCTCAGAGGACCATTGTTACACGTCTCCTCACAACCAGTTGCTGTGTTGGTCGTTAGTTGACCTCGGAGGAGCGAGCAATTACCACTGAAGTGTCCCTCCGTGGCCTCTTGCCTCTCGTTAAGAGTCCGTGGCTGGGCTGGACCAGGCGGCCACCACCACCACAGTGGCCACCACCACAGCGGCCACCACCACGGCGGCCACCACCACAGTGGTCACCACCACAGTGGTCACCACCACGGAGGTCACCACCACGGCGGCCACCACCACGGAGGTCACCACCACGGAGGTCACCACCACGGCGGCCACCACCACGGTGGCCACCACCACGGCGGCCACCACCACCACAGTGACCACCACCACAGCGGCCACTACCACGGCGGCCACCACGCCACCACCGCAGTGACCACCACCACAGTGACCACCACCACCACAGTGACCACCACCACAGTGACCACCACCACCACGGCGGCCACCACCACAGTGGCCACCACCACAGTGACCACCACCACCACAGTGGCCACTAGACAACAAGGTGTCCACCACTGGCTGGGACTACACACCCGGCGCCGCCACTAGACAACAAGGTGTCCACCACTGGCTGGGACTACACACCCGGCGCCGCCACCAGTTGGCCGGGCTGAGGTCTGGCCAAGGCTGATGACCATGTTCGTCCTGGGAAGTTCTTAATATATTCTTATACGTATATACTTGGCAGCTCTGGGGCGCTTATACATGTATACATTGTATCTCTGGCAGCTCATACATGTTATTGTGCCGTGGTTGTTGTTGCTGTGATTGTACCGTTGTTGCTGTGATTGTACCGTTGTTGCTGTGACTGTACCGTTGTTGTTGTGACTGTACCGTTGTTGCTGTGATTGTACCGTTGTTGCTGTGATTGTACCGTTGTTGTTGTGACTGTACCGTTGTTGCTGTGATTGTACCGTTGTTGCTGTGATTGTACCGTTGTTGCTGTGACTGTACCGTTGTTGCTGTGATTGTACCGTTGTTGCTGTGATTGTACCGTTGTTGTTGTGACTGTACCGTTGTTGCTGTGATTGTACCGTTGTTGCTGTGATTGTACCGTTGTTGTTGTGATTGTACCGTTGTTGTTGTGACTGTACCGTTGTTGCTGTGATTGTACCGTTGTTGCTGTGATTGTACCGTTGTTGTTGTGACTGTACCGTTGTTGCTGTGATTGTACCGTTGTTGCTGTGATTGTACCGTTGTTGCTGTGATTGTACCGTTGTTGCTGTGATTGTACCGTTGTTGTTGTGACTGTACCGTTGTTGCTGTGATTGTACCGTTGTTGCTGTGATTGTACCGTTGTTGTTGTGACTGTACCGTTGTTGCTGTGATTGTACCGTTGTTGCTGTGATTGTACCGTTGTTGCTGTGACTGTACCGTTGTTGCTGTGATTGTACCGTTGTTGCTGTGATTGTACCGTTGTTGTTGTGACTGTACCGTTGTTGCTGTGATTGTACCGTTGTTGCTGTGATTGTACCGTTGTTGTTGTGACTGTACCGTTGTTGCTGTGATTGTACCGTTGTTGCTGTGATTGTACCGTTGTTGTTGTGACTGTACCGTTGTTGCTGTGATTGTACCGTTGTTGCTGTGATTGTACCGTTGTTGTTGTGACTGTACCGTTGTTGCTGTGATTGTACCGTTGTTGCTGTGATTGTACCGTTGTTGTTGTGACTGTACCGTTGTTGCTGTGATTGTACCGTTGTTGCTGTGATTGTACCGTTGTTGTTGTGACTGTACCGTTGTTGCTGTGATTGTACCGTTGTTGCTGTGATTGTACCGTTGTTGCTGTGATTGTACCGTTGTTGCTGTGATTGTACCGTTGTTGCTGTGATTGTACCGTTGTTGCTGTGATTGTACCGTTGTTGCTGTGACTGTACCGTTGTTGTTGTTGTGATTGTACCGTTGTTGTTGTGATTGTACCGTTGTTGTTGTGATTGTACCGTTGTTGCTGTGATTGTACCGTTGTTGCTGTGATTGTACCGTTGTTGCTGTGATTGTACCGTTGTTGTTGTGATTGTACCGTTGTTGTTGTGATTGTACCGTTGTTGTTGTGACTGTACCGTTGTTGCTGTGACTGTACCGTTGTTGCTGTGATTGTACCGTTGTTGCTGTGATTGTACCGTTGTTGTTGTGATTGTACCGTTGTTGTTGTGATTGTACCGTTGTTGTTGTGACTGTACCGTTGTTGCTGTGATTGTACCGTTGTTGTTGTGACTGTACCGTTGTTGTTGTGATTGTACCGTTGTTGTTGTGATTGTACCGTTGTTGTTGTGATTGTACCGTTGTTGTTGTGACTGTACCGTTGTTGCTGTGATTGTACCGTTGTTGTTGTGATTGTACCGTTGTTGTTGTGATTGTACCGTTGTTGTTGTGACTGTACCGTTGTTGCTGTGACTGTACCGTTGTTGCTGTGATTGTACCGTTGTTGTTGTGATTGTACCGTTGTTGTTGTGATTGTACCGTTGTTGTTGTGACTGTACCGTTGTTGCTGTGACTGTACCGTTGTTGCTGTGATTGTACCGTTGTTGCTGTGATTGTACC